GATGATGATGATGATGATGATGATGATGATGATGATGATGATGATGAATCCAAGCAACCTAGTGCATTTTGGGAGGTCATGAGGTCCTGGGAGGCGAGTGGCTGCAGTGTCCACCAGGGGGTCATGGCAGCAGCAGGAGTTAGCTGGCACGGGTGGAAGAGCAGGCATCAGAGAGAGATGTGCCAAAGGAACAGAAGATCATGCTTGAATCATGCCTGGCATTTGATCGAACTGTGTTTTGGAGAAGACAAATGTGAAATGGCTAATTAGCCACCTTGCAAAATGTGTGTTCCAATAAAGCTTTAGTACTGGCCTCTCAGCTGACTGTACCAGTAGAAATAAGTTAGGTTACTGAATTATATTCTATTTGTCTCTAATCTGCGCTGCACTCACTTTAGCCATCATGGTTTCTGCGCAGGAATAAAAAGATCTGCTCTATGACAGATTCTTGTTGTATATAGGCCTTTTCCTTTACTTCTCCCCCTTTTCTTTTTAAGAAGAAGGAAACCTAGACTAGACTAGACTAGACTAGACTAGAGCCGAAGGTAGATTTGTTTCTGCAGAATCTGAGGTATGGGTAGAATGAAGCACTATGGAGCCTAATCCTCTATTAAGACTTTACTTGGAAAAAAGGAAAAATATGGTTTCTTTTTATGGAGGCAGGTAGGTGGCTCAGTGGATAGAGCACTGGGCCTGGAGTCAGAAAGACCTGAGTTCAAATCTGGTCTCAGACACTGTGTGACCCTGGGCAAGTCACTTAACCTCTGTTTGCCTTAATCTACTAGAGGAGGAAATGACAAACCACTCTATTATCCTTGCCAAGATAACCCCATAGACAGCATTGGTGTGCTATGGTCCACAGAGTCACAAAGAGCCAGATACTTCTGAAGAACTGAATCACAACAATAGGTTCTTCGGATAAGATGCCTGAATGTCATTTGTACAACTGTGTATTGTATCTACAATTAGAAGTGCCAAAGCAACAAATCCCATACACGACCACATGGCTGATTACCAAGCAGGAAGAGTGCCGCCCGGAACCCTGGTCAGCCCCAACATCAAGGTGTTGCAGCAAGCCTTTTATGCTAGACTTATTTTTGAACTTGTTACATCTTCTGTTAGGATGTAAGCCCCTGGAGAGTTGGGATTATTTCCATCTTTGTATCATCTCCAGCACCTAGCATAGTGCCTGTCTCATAGCAAGTCCTTAATAAATGTTAGTTGATCAATAACTAACACCCCAAAGTGTTAAACAAACTGAACGAGTAATTCAACTTGGCCAAAGGGCTCACCTTTATTGCCTATGGCAGATTAATTCTTAAATATTAGACTTTACCCAACTCAACATGTACCTATTCCTGTGTTTATAGTCATCTCCAGAGCTATAACTGACAATTTCTGTGGCCAGAGCAAGTGGTACGAAATGTATTCTTAAATCAGTCTTTTTAAAGACAAATTCAGTTTGGGGAATGGGGGGCGGGGTGGAAACTCTAAAATGCAACCTGTCAGAGAGAGACTGAGACCCATGAACACTACACATCCATTACTGGGAAACCTACAACTAGGCAGGGAGGAGCCTTAGGGTATGGCCAGCTCAGGGGTGGGGAACCTGCAGCCTCAAGACCCTCTAGGCCCTCAAGTGTGGTCTTTTGACTGAATTCAAACTTCACAGAACAAATCTCCTTAATAGAAGGATTTGTTAAAATACTCGCTAGCTGTGTGACCCTGGACAAGTCACTTAACCCCATTGCCTAGCCAAAAAAAAAAAAAGGATTTATTCTATAAAACTTGGATTCAAAAGGTTGAACCCCAGAACCTAGAAGGCCACAGGTTCCCCACCCCTGGGCTAGCTAATAAGGGGAAGAAATTTACCATCTGCTAGTATACTATTTTAACTAATTATTCTTGTTGATTAGGTGCTAACTTCAGTTGCTTCTAGGTGCTAAAGAACTACAAGATCTCTCAGTGTCCTCTAAATTTTAGAACCCTGGACAATGCCCCAGTCACCCTGCCTTAGTTATGACTCTGATCATGCTCATGCCTGCATTGTGCAGTGTGCTAGGATACTGTGCTTTCTATGGAGCTGATCCATTTTTTCCCCTTTCTTTAACCACTCTAAAGGCTCTTTGCTTAGGACAGCATTTTGAAGATTTAGAAACTAACTGCTGGTTAGAATTTATCTCCCAGACAGATGTGCCAAGGAGTCTCAGGAATCAGACAGCAGTTCTGGGAGCAGAATAATCTATTAACTTGTTCTGTGGTTGCTACAATTACACAGCTGTACAAATCGCAATCTAGCATCTCATCCAAAGAGACTATATTTTTATTTTTTTTCAAAGTAAAAACAACATTTCTCAAAAATTCAAAGAAAGCATTATTTCCTCCGGCTGGGAGTTTTATGAAAGTAGGCACTTTTGAGGGATGCCGAACTATAAAATACTTCTCAGCACTACTCAGATGAAACCCTAAAACCTGTCCAGATAATCAAGATCTATGGTAGTACTTACCATGTCTAGGGGAATCCTCTGCACTTCCCTATTGCTACCAGAAAGGAAATCGTTGGATGAAGGAAATCAGAAACTACAAATTTTCTGTGGGAGCTGCTTTTCTCAGAAAAAAGGCCTTGCTTTCCTGTGAAAATGACTTAATAATTTTACAGAATCAGTAAAAATAGACACAGGCTCCAGTCAGAAGTGGTTCCTGAGTAAGCAATATTGCTAAAGGACTCAAACCTTTAAAAAAAAATTATGTTCTCCAATTGACTTGGCCAAGCACTTAATGTAAGGTCATGGGTTTTGGCGGGGGAGGGGACTAAGCAGGCTCTTCTGGTGTATGGGCCTCTTAGGTCTTTGAATGGAATCTCAGAAAAGCTTTCTACATAATTAATAGAAGACAGTGATGGACATCATTGCAAGGTCTGGGCCTTTTAATTCCCAAGCTTATGTAGATTCTCCAACTAAACGTGTCACTCATGCAAATTATTTTTGTTGTTATTATCATTATTCTTATACGTTTCATTACACACAACATGGAACATCAATACAACCAACTAAATTTACTAATTATTTACATTTAAATCAATTATTTTCAATGCTTGAAGAATCATAACAATTTTTTAGTTTCTTCCCTTTTACATTCCCATTGGGATTCTCATCTCCTCATTCTCAATTACTTTTCTCCTTATATGGTTTGTAGTCTGTGTGTCCTCTGATCTGCTTTTTTTCTCTTTGCATTATTTCATAAAGCTTTTTTCAGAGTTCTCTGTACTTACAGAATCATAGACCCTATGAGCCAGAAGGGACCTTAGAAGCAATCTCATTCAAATCCCTAAATAACTTATCTGAGGTCCCATAGCTAGTAGGCTGTATAGCTGGGATTTGAACCCAGGTTCTCTGACTCTAGATACAGCGCTATGTTTCCTTCAGCGTCGTTATTAACTGCATGATAACATCTCATTGAGTGGGAGACATCATGAAGTAGAACAATGGACAGAGGGCTAGCCTTGAAGTCAGAAAGCCTTTAGTTCAAAACATGCTAGCTATTTGGCCATGGGCAAGGTGGTTTACCTCTCAGTATAACATGCAAATCTTTGAAACTAGAAATTACAGATAAGTCTCTGATCTGCATTGAGCCAGATTAAATAAAACATTTATCATGTAAATGTATCATAATTTATTTTACTATTTCCCTCCCCCCCTTTTTTTACATTTAGATTGATTTCAGTTTTTCTGTAATTACAAATAATGCTGCTTTGGAACTATTTGAACATATAGCTTTGTTTCTTTTTAAAATAGTCCTTTTGGTATATATTCCTAACAGTAGAATTATTGGACCAGAGGATGTTAATTTTTTGTAACATATTACTTACTGCCAGATTGCTCTCCAGAAAGATTCTACAAATCTGCAATACCACCAGCAATGAACAGTCAGTAATAGAGCTTTCTAAAAGGCAGCATGTTATTCACATAATTTATATTGTATTTTTCCCAGAAAGGGTAGGACAATGACTATTTAGGGGGAAATTTGTTTAACAGGATAACACTCTAGAAGCACTAGCTCTATTTTGTACTTAATATTTTCTCATAAATAAAATTGCTATCCAAGATGTTTCAGAGTTTTTTTGTGGATCTCGGCTAAATTAAGGACATGATCGCATAATACATTCATGTTTTCCTGTCAATAACATCATTAGCCAAATCCCTCAATTCCAAAGTAAATAAAAGCATCTGGGTTTCTAGCACAGCAAGACAGATTTGGTTATTGAACCTCAGATATAGATGTATTTGTACTGGACTAAATTTGCATATTAATCAAGTACTAATTGTTCTTTTCTATCAATTTTATGCAAATGTTTTTACTATTCTTTGTACAGTTTTCTGAATTTTTGGAAAGGCTCCCAAACCCCAAACTTAAACTATGTGTGTATATATGTATATACTGAGAAAAAGAGAGGGAAGTAACAATTATCAAGAAAGTAAAATCATAATTGAAAGATATTTTCATATTATACTTTTATGGAGTGGGCACATAGATTAAATTGTGGTGGATTTTCATGCTAATAAATGAAAAATTAGTAGGCCAATTTAATATTATTTCTTCATTTTTCTATTAAACCCTTAACACTTAACAGTCTGTGTCTACTATGCTCTTTCTTTTACCTAGAATAAGCTGAGCCCAAAGCTTAGTTTATAAAATATTCAACAAGGAAGGCTTCTATTCTCTTCATTTTAATCTCCCTATAGGACACAGACCTCCAGGTGACCTAGAGGCAGCCTAGCATAATGATCAATCAATAAATAAATAAATATTTATTACACACCTACTATGCACTAGGTACAAAAAGGAAAATAATTCTTGCCCTCAAGGAGCTATCAGGGAATCAGCAGGTAAGTATATACATGCATACACACATATATGTAGGGTGTGTTTGTGTGCTCATGTGGTTTATGTATATCTGTATGAGTCTGTCTGGACGTGGCTCTCAGGGACTCATGAATAATTATCTCTAGAATCTCCTCTGCTGAGGAGATTCCTTCCTTCTCCAAGAAAGACTTTGATTCCTACCAGGAAGGGAGAAAGAGATTGGAGCCATTATAGGTGGTCATGTCCAAAAATGGGTTTCTTATCCTACATATTGAGTCAACCACCTCTCTGTCAGGAAGTGGGAAACATTCTTCATCATCAATCCTCTCACATCATGGTGGATTATTTAGTTGATCGAAGTTCTTAAA